AAACAATGCAATTATTAAAGGTGTGGTTTCACTTTTTGTGACTGAAACAATAGACCTATGTTGTCTACAAACATGCAAGAAAAAACGGCTAAATAATAGTGTAAATATTGTGAAATACTGTTTATGGTTGGTCAGTTTACCCTGTTTACTTGCCATTGACAGATTTGGCAAAAAAGTAAATTCTGGTTTTATATAGAAAGAAAGCTATACAGGTTTAGAACAGCATGAGGTTGAGTATTTGGGTGAACTTTTCCTTTAAGTAGTTATGCTCTAAATCACTCCACGCAAGAGAGAGAGACATTGATAGATGAACAGAAAGGTGACTATGAGCAGAAGGCTTACTAGAGCTAAATACAGAGTCCTTCATTGAACTCTCCGTCAAGAATGATGACAGATCAGGGCTTTCCTGTCAGCCGCCCAAAAATGCAAAACTGTGGTATCTGTAACCCGCCCTGTCTCTGTGCGTTACGAAACTCACTGTTTGTGCTGTGTCAAACCCTTACAGGCCTGCCCTGAGCAGATGAAAAACAACACACAACACGCATCCATCTAACCGTCTGTATTTCACAACATTAACCATTACTGAACACACTCCTCAAACACTACAGTAAGTTCTGCAATTGGGGAAATCTAAACAAGAGGCACTGAGTGTTATGGAAAGCCGGAGCAGAGCGAGGTGAGAGTCCTGAGAGTCCACTGGAGCAGCTCAGCCCAAAGCCCACCAGGCGGACCGGCGAGGGTCCGGCTCGCTTCCTTTAAAGGAAATATCCCACAGCTGTGTAAACCAGGAGGGTTTACTCCAGAGGAACTCCCCATCGCATGACAGGGGCGGGGGAGCTGGGAAGCAGGAAAAGCTCGGCACTGCGCTGGGAGGGACAGAGTTTACTACGAACTTCCAAAGAACTTTCACTGGCATGGATAAAGGCAGAACGCAGGAAAGAAGACCTGCTATGTGCTGTCAGAATGAACAATTTAAAGGTTCACCCAAAAATGAAAATTCAAGAGAGCTACAGTATGCAGAAATGAAGATTTTTTCCGCACACATTACATGGCTCCATAAAATCTGGATTAAAACACTGGAGTCACATGGTTTTGTTTTATGATGCCTTTATGGCATATTTTGAGCGTGAAAGTTTTAATTTCCTAGACTTTCACACTTTATTTTATTTTAATATAACCTTCTAACAGTGTTTTTATACATTTAAGTACTGAGTAACATTAATTAGCAATAGGGTTTGGTTTAAGGTTATTTGTATGTAATTATGCATAATTTCTGTTATTACTACAGTAACTACATGTAACCTGTAACAAAGACACTGTAAAAAGTTTTACCAAAATATCATTAAGATATTAAGATGCTTGTGTTTCTGAATAAATAAAGCAGTATCAATGTCATAAAATCACAAGTCTGTTTTGATTTAAAGGCCAGAAGCTAGTTTATATGAATAAAAATCACAAACACTTGTAAATTAAATAATTTAATATATACAGATTTATTCTTTAATAATTTTTTTTCAAATGGATTATGAAAACTTGTATACAATGTACTCTCATTAAAAAAATTACTTTTATAATGTTTATTAGTTCTAAAAAAAATAAGTTTTTGCTCAAAAATATCCAAAATTAAAAACAAATTGTTTATAATTTCCGCACAGGAGAGACTTGGTGGTGTTTCAAAACAAAGGGAAATCGGTATCGGCATCGGTTATCGGTCAAAATGATTCGAAAAATATCAGCATATCGGATATCGGCAAAAATATTAATATCGTGCATCCCTAGTACCCAGCCTTTTTATCATATCACATTCAACTGGTAAAAAAAAAATAAAAAATATTGGTGCTGCTGATCACATCCAAACCAAATATAATTCTAAGCAAACAGATGTAGGACAAAAGACCAATCATTATTCAGTATGCAATTCAGAAGACCAATAGTTTGTTATGCAAATAGATGTAAGAAAGGCCAATTGTAATTCAGTATGCAAATAAACGTCCAATATTGCAGTCTGTTTACTGATGGAGTGCAATAAAGGTCACTAGGTGTTTTTAAACTTATCTTAATTTTTGTATACTTTCTTAAAATGTAAGCTTTAAGTTGAAAAAATTTTAATCCAGAAACAGCTAGCATACCTAGGCTAAATGTGTAATGATATCCAAACTATTTAAGGATTATATGTACACTGTTGCTGTACAAACAACTGTAAAAACTTAGAGTTAAATGCCTCTACATCAGCCAAGATCAAGGCCAGTCCTTACAAGCAGCTGGTTAATCACTGGTAAATATTGACTTTAACCAGCCTCATGACTCTATCCTACTGTCAGTCAACAGACAAGTGTGAAACCATGGACAACCCCAGTGTGCATCCCACCGAGAACAGACGAACGGTCTTAAACAACAACATCTGGGTCTTTATCATCCAGAGAGAGAGAGAGAGAGGGCCAATTGTAATTCAGTATGCAAATAAACATCCAATATTGCAGTCTGTTTACTGATGGAGTGCAATAAAGGTCACTAGGTGTTTTTAAACATCTTAATTTTTGTATACTTTCTTAAAATTTAAGCTTTAAGTTGAAAAAATTTTAATCCAGAAACAGCTAGCATACCTAGGCTAAATGTGTAATGATATCCAAACTATTTAAGGATTATATGTACACTGTTGCTGTACAAACAACTGTAAAAACTTAACAGAGTTAAATGCCTCTACATCAGCCAAGATCAAGGCCAGTCCTTACAAGCAGCTGGTTAATCACTGGTAAATATTGACTTTAACCAGCCTCATGACTCTATCCTACTGTCAGTCAACAGACAAGTGTGAAACCATGGACAACCCCAGTGTGCATCCCACCGAGAACAGACGAACGGTCTTAAATCTTAAGTCTTTATCATCCAGAGAGAGAGAGAGAGAGCTGGAAGTGTTTGACAGCACTGCACTTCTTCAATTACTATGCCATTCTAATTACACGCTGTACACCAAATTGCCATCTAAGAGCTCATTTCCTGCCCAGCGTGCAGCAGAGGGGGAACTCCAGGGCGTAGCTGCTCCAACACTCCTCCCAAAATCCCATGGAGACGGAATTCTGAAATACTGACAAGTCAGAAACGCAGAATCGGTGAGCAGGATGTGAGATGACCCCAGGTGGGCGTCAGGGTCAGTTTCAGGCTGTGTTGTGCTTGAAGTCTGAAGAGCTGAAGGTGGAGGTAGAGGTAGATACGAGTCCTCAGGCCAAGCTAAATGAATGGGATTACAGGAAACTTCCAACCCACTAGGCCACGCTCACAGCTTTAAGTTGAAAAAATTTTAATCCAGAAACAGCTAGCATACCTAGGCTAAATGTGTAATGATATCCAAACTATTTAAGGATTATATGTACACTGTTGCTGTACAAACAACTGTAAAAACTTAACAGAGTTAAATGCCTCTACATCAGCCAAGATCAAGGCCAGTCCTTACAAGCAGCTGGTTAATCACTGGTAAATATTGACTTTAACCAGCCTCATGACTCTATCCTACTGTCAGTCAACAGACAAGTGAGAACAGACGGACGGTCTTAACAACAACAACATCTGTGCCTTTATCATCCACAGAGAGAGAGAGAGAGAGAGCTGGAAGTGTTTGACAGCACTGCACTTCTTCAATTACTATGCCATTCTAATTATTCTAATTACACCAAATTGCCATCTAAGAGCTCATTTCCTGCCCAGCGTGCAGCAGAGGGGGAACTCCAGGAACTCCAGGGTCCAACACTCCTCCCAAAATCCCATGGAGACGGAATTCTGAAATACTGACAAGTCAGAAACGCAGAATCGGTGAGCAGGATGTGAGATGACCCCAGGTGGGCGTCAGGGTCAGTTTCAGGCTGTGTTGTGCTTGAAGTCTGAAGAGCTGAAGGTGGAGGTAGAGGTAGATACGAGTCCTCAGGCCAAGCTAAATGAATGGGATTACAGGAAACTTCCAACCCACTAGGCCACGCTCACACACACACACACACACACACACACACACACACACACACACATTCCAAAGGAGGGGAAAAACCCTAGGTCCATGGGAGAATGGGAAGAACATTTGTTTTGAATGCTCATTTCTTCAAGCCCTGCTCTCTCATTCTGCTCTGCCATGTGAAATCCATCACTGATGCATTTCAGCGCACAGCTGCCAGCGCCTGGCATGAAGCGGCCCGCGTGAAACCGTATACCGCTAGACACATGAGCGCGTATAATCCACATAGCGCTGCATGCTATGTAACATATAACAGCCCTCTATTTCTGACCCCGTTTTCATTAATGTTTCACTCAAGCTTTTTTCTGTATTTCACAAACCTCAAAAAGAAATACAATCTGTTTTTAAAGGGACAGTTTACTCAAAAATGACAATTCAGGCATCATTTATTTGGCTTGAAGCCATTCCAGCCCATATGACTGTGCTATGGAAGCCTGTTTCTGCCACTGAATAAAACAATTGAAAAAAGTAATTGCGACTTTCCATATCACAATTTTGAGGTTTTTTCTCGCAATTGCAAGTTTACATCTCGTAATTCTGACTTTTCTCTAAGAATTGCGCAATATAAACTCACAAAAAAAAAGTCAGAATTGTGAGATAAAAAGTCACAATTACCAGAAACAGGCTTCCATACTTTCCTGCTTTTGTGAAACATGAAAGAAGAAATTTAGCAGATTGTTCATGCTGCTCTTTTCTATGCAATGAAAGGGAATGAGGACTGTCCAGCTATTACATTTTATTGTGTGATCCACGGAAGAAGTCATACTGGTTTTAGGTGAGTAAAATGATGACTAGTTTCTTTTTTGGGTGAACTATTTCTTTTAATGGTCTATAAAAAGTTCAAAACTTTGAAAATAAAGAAAAGGTCTATTAAATATTGCAAAAAGGCCATTGCAGGCTTTAGTTATCAGTGCCCTCAAGTGACACATGAGCTTTCATTTAAGGTAAAAAGAGGAATTCAATGGCCAGCAGTGGGATAAACAGGACAGAAGATACTCACCGACGACCATGAGAGTGAATTCGAAGCCCCTCCATTTCCTGCCCAGCGTGCAGCAGAGGGGGAACTCCAGGGCGTAGCTGCTCCAACACTCCTCCCAAAATCCCATGGAGACGGAATTCTGAAATACTGACAAGTCAGAAACGCAGATTCGGTGAGCAGGATGTGAGATGACCCCAGGTGGGCGTCAGGGTCAGTTTCAGGCTGTGTTGTGCTTGAAGTCTGAAGAGCTGAAGGTGGAGGTAGAGGTAGATACGAGTCCTCAGGCCAAGCTAAATGAATGGGATTACAGGAAACTTCCAACCCACTAGGCCACGCTCACACACACACACACACACACACACACACACACACACACCTAGGTGTTTTTAAACATCTTAATTTTTGTATACTTTCTTAAAATTTAAGCTTTAAGTTGAAAAAATTTTAATCCAGAAACAGCTAGCATACCTAGGCTAAATGTGTAATGATATCCAAACTATTTAAGGATTATATGTACACTGTTGCTGTACAAACAACTGTAAAAACTTAACAGAGTTAAATGCCTCTACATCAGCCAAGATCAAGGCCAGTCCTTACAAGCAGCTGGTTAATCACTGGTAAATATTGACTTTAACCAGCCTCATGACTCTATCCTACTGTCAGTCAACAGACAAGTCTGAAACCATGGACAACCCCAGTGTGCATCCCACCGAGAACAGACGAACGGTCTTAAACAACAACATCTGGGTCTTTATCATCCAGAGAGAGAGAGAGAGAGCTGGAAGTGTTTAGGAGGGGAAAAACCCTAGGTCCATGGGAGAATGGGAAGAACATTTGTTTTGAATGCTCATTTCTTCAAGCCCTGCTCTCTCATTCTGCTCTGCCATGTGAAATCCATCACTGATGCATTTCAGCGCACAGCTGCCAGCGCCTGGCATGAAGCGGCCCGCGTGAAACCGTATACCGCTAGACACATGAGCGCGTATAATCCACATAGCGCTGCATGCTATGTAACATATAACAGCCCTCTATTTCTGACCCCGTTTTCATTAATGTTTCACTCAAGCTTTTTTCTGTATTTCACAAACCTCAAAAAGAAATACAATCTGTTTTTAAAGGGACAGTTTACTCAAAAATGACAATTCAGGCATCATTTATTTGGCTTGAAGCCATTCCAGCCCATATGACTGTGCTATGGAAGCCTGTTTCTGCCACTGAATAAAACAATTGAAAAAAGTAATTGCGACTTTCCATATCACAATTTTGAGGTTTTTTCTCGCAATTGCAAGTTTACATCTCGTAATTCTGACTTTTCTCTAAGAATTGCGCAATATAAACTCACAAAAAAAAAGTCAGAATTGTGAGATAAAAAGTCACAATTACCAGAAACAGGCTTCCATACTTTCCTGCTTTTGTGAAACATGAAAGAAGAAATTTAGCAGATTGTTCATGCTGCTCTTTTCTATGCAATGAAAGGGAATGAGGACTGTCCAGCTATTACATTTTATTGTGTGATCCACGGAAGAAGTCATACTGGTTTTAGGTGAGTAAAATGATGACTAGTTTCTTTTTTGGGTGAACTATTTCTTTTAATGGTCTATAAAAAGTTCAAAACTTTGAAAATAAAGAAAAGGTCTATTAAATATTGCAAAAAGGCCATTGCAGGCTTTAGTTATCAGTGCCCTCAAGTGACACATGAGCTTTCATTTAAGGTAAAAAGAGGAATTCAATGGCCAGCAGTGGGATAAACAGGACAGAAGATACTCACCGACGACCATGAGAGTGAATTCGAAGCCCCTCTTCACAGACTTTCTGTACACTTGGTTGGGGAGATTTGCGAATCCCACGTACCCCTCAAGGTTCTTCTGTTGCTGTAGAGCAAAACCAAACACAATCAATGGCTTTAGCAGGCATGACTGACAAAACACTACAAATGAGAAACACGTAGGCGGCCATCTGTCACGACTGCACACGGTTACTGTTAACACCTTCATGAATCTTCAGAAACATTTGGTTTGACACTCAAATAACAGCATAGAAACATGGCTATAATAATGCATGGGCTTTTTTCAAATTAGACTACTTAACATGCTACCACACGATCTGAGGTATCATTCATGTTTGTAGCATGAATAAAGTGGGATGCACAGTGTGGGACACTAAAGTTTAATACTTAGAATTATGGATTTAAACAAACCATTGACTCTAAATATGAGTCAAACACAAATTCTAATATCTAATACTAGATTTTGAACTACTTAGCAGCACAGGCTACAGATTTTAGAGATCTTTTGAGGAGCTGAACAACATATCCATTTGTAGTTTGTCCAGGCGTTTGAAATGACTATGCATACTTACTGCTACTTTGGAGAGCATTCGGATCATGTTGTTCCACAGATCGATGGATGAATAGATGAAGAGATGATCAGATTCCACCAGGCAGGGAGAGAGGCATCCACATACACAAAATAAAACACAAAGAGACAGAATGAGACAAAGATAGGTAACAGCTGAAGTACATTAAGATGTCTGCAACTCACTAAGAGCTTCAACAAAACCATTGGTCTGTCAATCCAACCAATGAGGACGAGATGTGTTATTAACATCCATCTGAGGTGAACCAATCACACGTGATCAATCAAACTACATTCAAATAGTCACATTACTACAGGTGTAAATGACCAATAAGATATGGACACTACTTGAGTTTAAGAAAGAAAAGATTCTGTAAATATCAGTCTATTTTAGTCCTAATACCAAGCCTGTAGTGTTTTCCCAATGCTGCACGACCAAACCACTTCTCTAAACATACAGAATTACAGAAAGGCCAGAAATGGGGCTTTAGCGCTAGACTTTCACAGTGCTCAGGCTGCCAGTAAAACGGACTTAATTGAAAAATCATCTCACTGAATGAACCAGGCCTTCCCTGAAGAGCATTTTCTTTCTGCGGAAACAGCAAATCATCAAATGCACGGATCTGTGATTGCAGCACATAAAAACCCCAACTCATTTGACTATCAAAACCTTCATGTTATTCTGCTAACACTACAAAAGCAAACGTCTGGGAGGAACACGTGCAGCTTGATAGACAAGCCTGTGATGATGATTCAAAAAGTCAACTGCAACGTACAGTAAAAGAGTATCAAATCAGCTCAGACGACTCATACATTATATTATTTAGCATTATATAGCCTAGTTTTATAAAGTCAGAACAGATCAACATTTATGCTATAGTTATTCAGTGACAATCACATTTTCATAACATCGGCAAATGGTTCAAAGACTAAAAAAGGGGGTTTAAGCATCAAAACAATAAAAGTTTAATAGAGCTTTAAATGTATTTTTTCCCCAATACATTAGAATGTTTTTTTAATTTTACAGAAGACACCAACTAAAATGTCTTTCAGTGTAACAATAGTTCAATATAACAAAAAAACTTGTCAAGCATATTTAAACCTAAAATCATTGCATGACATTAAAAGACTATTACAGCCCCCAAAAACTAGTTAATTGTCATTCTAAAGCTTTACCGATCTTTGCCACTGTCCTTCAAACCACTAGGGTTTACCCATTTGTCAGCAAGAAGTTTTTAATCATTTAGCTAAAATATTACAAAATTTAGAATGATCAGTTTTTCTTCTATATATTTTAATAAGTGCAGGTCAGAATACGCATACGTCGTTTCATTTTTATATATCTGTTAAACTGAATGACCATGGAACATTTCAGCTAGGACTGGGCGATTTTTCCGATTTTGTCGACTAATTTGAATTTTATGTTTTGCCACGATTAAATTTTTTTAGAAATCGAGGAATTGCGATTTTGAATAAAAATATTACTAAACGTTAGAATTAGACACTTTGACAATATGCCAATGATAACAGTAAAGAGAAAAGAACGGTACAACCGCATGTCGGTGCACGTGATTAATCGCTCACGTGTGACGCGCTCATATCGCGAAGTGCCATTCACGCGGAATACGCTTTTGTGTTGAAAAAGATGCAACGCGGGCAGAGGAATAGGAAAAAAAATGCAAGAAGAACGTCTTTTAACTTGAGCGCCGCGTTTTTAGAATGCCGTTTCATGCATGAGAAGTGAGCGTAACAGTCAAAGGCATCCATGTTTACACAGAAAAAAAACAATGGAAAAGCAGCGCAATAGAATAAAAAACCTGTAAAGAACCACTAGGCCTACTGTATGTCTGATATTTCATGTTTTTATCATGGTGACAGGATGAAAGCTGCTGTTCAATGTTTTTACAGAACATTTATAGTTAAAAATAGTCTACTGGTGTTATACCTTGTCATTCTGAATTTGAATTACCTTGACTTTTGAGAATTTTTTTTAAAGCATTTTCCTCGTATTATTCCTGAACATATAATATGCATAAGACAAGTTTGTACAAGATGTAGTTGTTCATGCATCTTTTCTGCAAAATGTAGTCATTCAGTGATAATCACGTTCACACAATTCAAAAATACAACCACATTATAATAAATTTTACATCTTATGAGAACCAATTCCATTTAACATAAAGTGCATTTAAATGCACTTTAAATTATCGTTTTCATTGGAAAAAAAGCAAAAATTCAACTTCCAATTCATAGACCAACTGACTACTATTATGATTTTACCAGTCTGATTTCTGCCAAGTCGAACATATGTTTCCTTTTCAGGTGAACGATCCCTTTAAGACGAATTATTACTGCATTTATGTTGCTTGTCTTGGAGATTTTGATTTTAACCACCCACACAATGAATAAGCAATGCTCTTTCCTGAAACTACAAATGAAAGTCTGTTACAAATATCCTGCACCACTTCCTACTGATGTTATTGTTGGGTGTTCTTCTAGAGGGCTGGTGTGAGGTGTGAACACACGAGTACACGCAGAGGAAGTCTGATCTCACGGGGGGAAACTGAGAGGACGTATATGTTCCTTCTTCCAGGTTAAACGCCTGTCAAAGCCAAGACGCTCAGCATATTTGAAGGGGAACATCTCAGTGAACCATTACAGTAAATGCTCTGATGCAAATTTGGATGATCTAA